ATTTGATGAGGTAGCTATTACTAATTATCAAAGAAACATGATGGAAAGCACTATGTGCACATCACTAATTCTTTATTATTATCACTAAACTTTCAGTTACATTTCGCTAATTTCATGTATTTTAATAAAGTCAACGGTTGGACTTTTAGGGTTCTTAATAATAGTTTTCGGGATGGTAGGATCCTTAGCAATTGGAATATACCTTGATCGCACGTTGGCTTTTAAATCATCGTGTATGTGGTTGTATGTTGGGGTCATTATTTCTTTAGGGCTATTTAATATCTCGTTAAAATATGAGAATGTGGAATTGATGTTTTTTTCAAGGTTGGTCTCCTTTTTGAAACATTCGCTAGGGAAAGCCATCTATTACGTGATTTATCATGGATAGCTACCACGTAAAGAGTATGAATCCAATTTTTTTTTTGTATTCGAGAATATTAAGAGGCTTGCCTTTAAATCCTCCAAGATGGTATACATAAGCTAATACATGAGTATGGGCCTTTTAAATTACGTGATGGATGGCACGTCCTTAAGTATTATAAATAAATGACTTACAAAATAAAAATATTACGTTCATAATATAGCATATCATTTGGTATATTTTCATTCGGTAAGATGACTTTTGTTTCTATCAAATCTAGACCTAACCTAAATCTAATATAAACCTAATATAAACCTAATCTAAACTTAAATAAAATATATCCTTTCTTAATGCCTATTAATGTCTCTTCTAGCAATAGGTCCGGCGGTATGCCAATACGCTACAATAGTAATATCCAAGAGGCAATCAACCGACGAAATCACCACTACAGGAGTCTTATATGCATTCGCACAAATCATTGGCACTTTATTAATTTCGATGATGGATACATTAGAGAATTTAAATAAAAAATTTACGATGGAGCTTTCAAACTGGGTTTTGTTCGCGATTGTGGTCGGTGGGTTTGGGTTGTTGTTGCCGATTTCGCCAGCGGAAAATGAGGGCTATGGTGAGGACGAAGATGAACAAGGGGAGACCAGTTTATAAATTGACATTAGAATATTTATTTAATTTACCAGAAAGTATGGATATTATTATGCAATAAAATACAAATTTTTTATATTATATATAAAAACTCAAGTATTAAAATTTTTTATGTTTATATTTTCTGAATGAAAAAAAAAAATTAAATTTTACAGTTGGAATTACATTCATACGTTATATGACAGGGTTGGCAATGGACTATGATGGGCTCTGAGAAAAATGTCAATAGACATTGTCCATTGGGCCAATGGACATAGTCCATTGACATCTTCTAAGCCACATTTTGGTCCATTGGCCAA